CTAAGTGCAAGTGGGAGTTGATGGAGAATAGTGTCCATAGTCATAATAAGTACAGTAATATTACTATAAATAGCAGCGCCCTTTTGGGATACACGGAAGAACAAAATAAAGCATATCTAAAAAGATATTTATATGAGGGACTTGTTTTGTTGTTGATTATTATAGTTTAATTAATTAATTTGAAAATAATGGAATATGGAATATTCCAGAATGATTTGAATTCCATAGATGATTATAATTAAATTTGGTAATTATCTTTAGGGTTTCAAATCACCACCCTATATAAAGGGGATCTAAATCCGATTTTGAGGCATGAGAGATAACCCTTCATTCATCAAAAGTTCAGAAATCCCGAAAACCCTAAGAATTCCCAAAGTGCAGTTCCCACATCGTGGCAGATAGTTTACCACGTCATGGCGACCACAGGATCGAGATTTCAATTATGTTTGAAGCTCATAGTTCGATGAGTGCTTAGATTTTCTTGTGTATTGTTTCTTGGGTGCGATGTCAGAAGAGAAACTCTACGTCGGGTTCTCTAGTCCTATCAACTGGCTCGTCAAAAGAAGAAAAAAATGGTATGATTCTATTATGTGTTCTATACGTTGCATGGCTACTTGAGTTATAATTAGTTGTTTCGAGTCTTAGATCAGAATTGTTTGTTGTTTCTGCTACCCAATGGTTGATCTTCGATACGCTTGAAATTCATCACTTTCACCATATCAACAAACACATTTCCAAAGAAATATTACAAACACAATGTGACTTTTTTCGGAATCTTGTAATGAGAAACCGATGCACCACACCAGGTTGATGATGGATAGTAGAGCTTTACTTCAATCCGGCAAACAGATGAAATTGGAACAACTTTAAGCAATGAGAAATAAAAACACATTCTAAGATCATAAGATTGACAATATCATTCCATTTTGAACAAAACTCTAATGATAATGCTTTATTGGGTCTATAGAAGAGATTTTATGGTGTATTGAAGATTTAAAAAATCTAATACGTCTATTTCTATTTTTAAAATAATGCAATATTTTAATATGTATCTAATTTTTTAAAATATAAATAAATAAAATATGATTTTGTCAAGAAAATACTTTAATATGTGTGTTTATTATTTTCAAACTTAATATTTTTACGTCATATTCACACGGCTCTATCCTCTATTAATACAATATGATGTGATGTCCGTAGTCATTGCCAATCATTCCTAATAAATAAAAAACTTTTTGTCACATGTCATCTTCTCCTTCATTTGGACACATGTCATTTTCTAGAATTTTTGATTTTTTCTATTTTCCACTTGTCATTTTATTGTATTTTTCATTTTATTAAATTAAAATTCCTTATTTAATATGTAAGATAATATATATGTAAGGTATTTACTGGAAAGGTTTATATATGTAATGTATTCAATACATTAAAGCCTCATTAATATTATTAATTCAAAATTTTTCTCATTTTTCTTATAAATTCAAACTTTTCAAATTGTTAAAATTTCATTAATTTTTTTTAAATAAACTCATGTAATACATGGGTGTCACACCTAGTTCCCAATATGTATGAATAAGTATCATCATCGGATTGTTACCTATGAAAAATATAACACATAAGCACCACATAAGTTTTTACCATTTTTACCACATTTTACCTATGAATGGGATGTGCTAATATTTTTACCTTTAAAAAAAAGCCTTAAGTTTGCAACCACCAATCATCAGCTAAAATGTAACACGTGGATATTTACCTTTGTAATAAAACCCCAAAGTATTCAAAGGGGCAGAGCACGAGCAATATAAATAAGGGGCCAACCGAAACAAAGAGATACCCATAATTTTTTATTTCAAAATGGGAGAAAACTCTAAACAATGTATATATATACAACAAATATTTCACTATAAAAAAATAAATATCATAGAAAAGTTGCTGTTGTGCTAATTTGTTTGTTTCAAAAGTGATATTCATATAGCAAACTTAGACATGTCTAGTTTATATATAACTTCATATCCTAGTCAAAAGGAATACAAAAACAACAAGTATACTAATATAAATATAAAAACGAACATTAGACATTAGGTTACAGTTAATTAAAACACTACATATTTGATAGAAGTTGTTATTGAAAAAGTAATTAACATAACACAAAAGATAACAGCTAACACATAACACTCAACGTACAATTGACAATACTTTAAAAGAGAAAAGGGCAATAGTACACTACGAGTCTTGGAGAAATTAGAATTAACTGAAAAATAATTTAGACATTACTATAACAGGCTAGCAACACATGTGACCGAAGCAATCCTCAAATTCTATTAAATAACAAATTAAAGCTATAGGCTATACCCTAAAAGTAATCAATTGAAAACAAATGAGAGGATAAAACCAAAAGTGCCACCAAAACTAGAATTAAAAAAGTATTACCTTGATTACGATTATCCTCATAACTGATAAGAAACATAGCTGCAAAAAAAGAACCACATGGAGATGGTATAAACGGGGAGGCTAGAAGTGCGTAAGTAGTGGGCACGATCCATGAAGGATGAATTGCATAATGAGAACAAAGATAAGAAGACATGTTATGGATGCATTATTTTTTTTTTCCTGTTTGATTTATTTCCTTTTATGTTCACATAATAATGGATTGGATTGTTTGATCCTATACTATTATCTATTTTGAAATTTGAGGGAGGTCGATATAGTGATTATCTTTAAATAAAAGTCTAATTTATAATTTTTTAATTTAAGAGGCTAAAAACCTGGGGGCCAGGGGCCCTCTGACCCCGGATTTGTCATTGGTATTCAATTTTTACCGACGGTGGAAGTGTATACCGGCGGTGAAAAATCAGGTAAATGACAGTGTTTACCGCCGGTAATAATATCAAAAAAGATGGTTAAACCTTAAACTGATGTACCCTTTTTCAGTCCATTTTGTACAATTCGCCGTTATTCATGTCTTCAAGACCATTATATTATGATACTATAGAATATTAATTTTTATTTAAAAGCAAAAGAAAAAAAAACAAGTGAAAGAAGGTCAAAGACCTTTTACTTTCTTATTTCTTCTTTAGACTTTTCCTTTTCAATCTGACGACAATTACGCCACTTTTAGTTTTAGGAAGGGTTAATGAGATAAAAACCCTCAAGTTTACAGGGTTTTGTCGGTTTTGCTCAAAGTTAACATTTATGTCCGTTTTTACCCAAACATTTTCGAAAAAATGTTCGATTTTACCCTTTTACCGGTGATAACAGGTTTTCCAGGTTACCATTATATTAAATTCGCAAAAAACCCTTAAGTTTACCATTTTTTTGTATTTTTACCCTTAAGTTTATAATTTTTTTTTACACTTTTACCCTAAGTATATTTTTTTCATAATATACATATTTATGCAGAAAAATCGTATTTATAAATACCAAAAAATATTTAATTAAATATTGTATTTATATTTTTTAATGTTATATATATATATATATATATATATATATATATATATATATATATATATATATA